CAAGTGACATGTTCAGTCATGCCATGCTGGCAAAGTCAGCCCGGCTGCCTTACCAAAAAGCTCACTTCGATTAAAAATTTGTAACAAATAGTTAGGATTTTGTTGAAGTACAGAGTTTTTGAGTTATTTGAGTTATGACTTTGTTTGAGGTATTTGAGTTATGTCAAAAGAAATTGTGAAGACAGTTAAAATGAGAAATTAAAAATCACAAATCCACAATTGCTTTCCTGTAACTTGACATAACCCAGTTTTTGTATGTACACTCAAGGGTTTCTCAAGGGTTCTTCTCATAGTTACAGGTTCTTAGCTTTCTAAATGGGAATTGGAAACATCTCAGTGAAAATATCTCTTGTAGAGCTCTGCATAGAACTTGACAAGATTTAACCTTTTCTTCTAGATGTATACTCTTCTCAGGGTCATTATTCACATAATCAGTTTGTACTTTACTCTTTATGAGTGTAAAGATTTTACATGCAATTATGGCAGTTTGCATCTTAAACAGTTTTGTTATAGCCCCGCCCCTCAGATCTCCATATCTGTCTCCTCAGAAAGCGACAATAATGAGACTTGTGTTCTTTGGTAGTGTAGCCAGTTATCTGTGAATGTAGCGTTCAAGTTATAGGTACATTCATTTTGATTTGTGATTCTAACATGAACATTATAACATTGTAAATTAGAATTCCAAGCTGTAATATGAATATGAATGTTTTACGAATCTTGTTATGGATTTACGATGAATAAAATTCCAATCTCATCATTTCGTTTGCATAAATTCTTCTGACAGGAAAATGGCTGCATACAGGGTTAGCTTTTCATACAGGAACATATTTATTCATACATATCTGTGTGAAATCTAACAAAAACACACAGCCCAATACCTATAGATGTTGAGTGAGATCATTTTGGCTGAATAAAGCATACATAGTTAGCAACAGTTATCTTGTAATTCATTCATGCGTGTCTGCCAAATTTGTATGACACGACAATATATTAGAGAGATTGTATGGAGAATGTTTGCTGACAAAAGCAAGTTTCAATCCATTGAATTACATGGAAATAGATCACAGAGCATCATTCACACACACACACACACACGCACACACGTCTTGTTCTATTTATATAATCATTTTTACTTATTTTCAATAAGGCTGACAGGAATTCTGAACGCGGCCGTACACGTTCACAATTTCACTCAAATAAAAGAACGCCTTTTATTGCTCAAATGGTGCAAAAGTAAACTGTAATTTCTGGGGAATTCAACATAAAAGTTAACGGCATCAATGGTAATAACAGGTTGAAAATTGTAATGCAGCATGTGAGAACAGTGGGATCTTTTACCTGTTAATTTTACATGTTTTATGCACGAAAGCATCTTTTCACTTTAGATTAACAGAACTGGATGCTAGCTTTTGAATTTTCTGGCATGGTTTAATTATGAATTTTTATTCAAATGATGTCTTTGAACAGCAGTGCTGTAAGGGCATCTGCACCGGCTTCTGCTGGACCTTAATTGCACGCCACAGTATGTGAGAATTTATGAGGTATAGGTTGATGGTTTTAGTTTTCATAATGCCATGCTTTATATTACTCTCTCTCTCTCGCACTCTCTCTCTCTCTCTCTCTCTCTCTGCTTGTGTTTAATGGTTTCTCCTCTGATGGAACTCCAGCTTGTTGTTCTTTCCCTACATTTGTCCTTTTTTCCTTGTGTCCCCTTGGTTCTCTTCCCAGAAGACTGCATCATGTTTTCAGCTCCAGCATCACAGACACACTCTGAACACATGTATCATGAGTGCACATGACGAAATCATTCCCTCACGTCTTAACCCTGTATCAGCCTCTTGTTTGCTCCCCATACACCCATAAACTCTGTATATAAACCCTTCTTCTTTGTTGTATCTAGTGGTTAAGACTGTATGTTGCATATGTGCTTTAAACATTTAGGTCGCTTTGAAATGAAACAATAGCCAGTGTCTTTATTCATTTATTGGGTTTACTTTTAAACAAAGCACCAAGACTGTGTCCAATAAATCTGAGCTAACTGATTACTGCCCTTATCTTTTGCCGTCAATATTAATGGCAAATAAAGAATGTTTAAATAGTCCGTCAATGGCCTTCCCTAATTGTAGCTAAAGGAATGGCTAAAGATTCAGGCTTAATTAGCTCCTATCATAGTGTGTCTGTGAATGTTAAACACCGCTGTGTACATATAGGACATGTCCTAATTCTCAATATTTAGATTTGATTCTCTTCCTCCATTCATCTCTGTTGTTCTCTATCTCTCTCCCTATCATTTTAGCATCAAAATCATCATAATTTCTCTGGCTGTTTGTCATTCTTTGTCATGTTAATAACAGTGAAGCTTTATTGGCATACACAACGTAATAAAACTATCATTAGGAATTCAAATAAATGAAATGACAAAATAATAATACAGAATGAAACAAGGTATGTGGTAAGATAATGAGGAAAAACTACTGAGAAGCAGCCCATGGATATATCACATTTTCTGAAATAATTGCACAGAAATTAAGCAGGGTACTGGATGCACTCTCTATCTGTCAGATTTCAATAAGAAGTTGCTGAGAAAATCCTGGAAGTTTTTCAGTTCGAGTAAAAAAAAAATCTCTCCTGTGGGTTTATATCGAGGACAGTAGGACATGAAATAAATCTCCCTCTCAATCTTGTAGATGTTGGGTCTCCCCCGCCTCTCTCTCTCTCGTTTCCCATCTTCCCCAAAGCATCCCCCCTCCCAACACCAAAATCTCTGTCCTTTTTCATTGCCAGTTTCTCCTGGGTGGCCATGTTGCTTGTATCATTAGGGAAAAACGAGAGAGGAGATAGACCTTAGGGTGTGTGTACTCACATTCACACCCCTCTTTTTTTCTTTTCTGTCCACATCCTTCCTTTCCTACCTCTCTGTGACAGCCGGCAGTCGGTAGGGCACAGTGGCCATGCCAGTGCAGGAAAGACCCACGTCAGCGATTAAATACACACCTAAGACGTGTGCACGCTTGACCTGACACACACTGATCATGTAACATATTGTGCATGTCTCAATATGAACTTGGCCATTAATGCCAGAATTACAATGATGAAAATGTGATTTGGAGTCATTTTTAATCAACAGATCAGATGGTATCATTAACATTTTTATACGTTATGCCTTATTTCATAGATAGTACATTTGTATTATATGGATATTTCAAAATTACAGTACTTTGTGAAGCAGTGCCAAGATCATGCAAAGGCTTGCAGTCCAATTCGCTCTCTCTCTCTCTCTCTCGCTCTCTCTCTCTCTTTCTCTATCACACACACACACAAAACACACACACACATCTCACACTTTTTCCTTGGCAAATGGAGCATAGCGGATCATAGCAGCAGTGGGCAAAGCTTTGGCATATTGAGAAACCGGATTGTAACATTGGATTTGGATGTAAAACTGTGAAACGCTACAGATGTTGGAACTCGGAAAACCATTAAGCATGCATGAAAACACATACACACGCACACATCCTAAACCACACCCAGTGGATTAGGACTACTTGATAATTGCTCTGTCACGATCATGGAGTTCGATGATTAATTGTCATACATAATTAATTATTTGTCTCTTTTCCATTATATGACCATATTATAGTATACATAATATTTTATTAAAGTCCCTTAATTACAGTAAAACACTGTTTTTTTTTGCAGGTTGTTGAGGCAGGACACATGTGCGTTAAATCAGTAAAATAGGTGCAAGCCAGGAATCGTAATCATAGTTCAAAGCAGAGGTCAGAGGTAATCACAGGCATATCAATAATCGTAAAAAGGGTAACAAAAGGGCCTGTACATGGAACATGGAAGAGAACACAGGAAATAAGGCTCAGAAATGCACAAATACAACTGACTAGTCTTCATAATGAGACAAAGAAAAATCAGGGTATAAATAGAACTCATCAACAACAAACTAATCAAGGGGCACAGAACAGGTGAACACAGCGATGAGAGGACTAGGGTGGATACAGGACTAGAAGAGAAACAAATGCACATGGAAATGTACAAATAAATCCAAAACAAAATGACATGAAAGCAGCACACGTCATGCTGGGAACCATGACCTGGGCCGAGTGAGGGAATACAGGACATAGTTATGGTTCCAACTATATGTATATGCATACTACATACTGGGCATGTTTTACCATTTAAGTGTTGTAGAACCTACATCCTACACTATGGACCTTTAAGCCCAAAAAACTGGGGCTAGAAAATGCAGACTACAGATAAAATGCAGAAAAAACAAGATAATATTTTTTAAGGCTAGTAGCGTAAGATACAAATGAAAAGCTTCAACATTCAAATAAACATCTAATACTAGTGTAATATGCAGAAAATATATTGAAGTTGATGTGATGAATAGTTCTTGTCATGATGATCAAATCAATTTGACATCTTTGCAAATGTGCCTCAATTTATTTTATTAATTGGCTGCCAGGCTATAAATTATCACTATCATACCACAAAAATATGCAGCAGATCCTAATGTCTAACTAGAAAAGATGAATGGAAATGATGAAATGTAACCAAACGTCCACAGTTTATCCCTTGATTGAGGTGTTTTTTTCCCTATATCCACAAGAAATGTGCCTCAATTAAAAACTTGGACCTTCTGGCATCCTCTTACCATGTGACAGTTGGACTAATTTGTTCACCTTTTACCATGAGTAACACAATACAAGCTCATATCTCAACAAGTCTGATAAAAAATTAGTAGGCATTCAGAGGTGGATGATCATGGATGATAAATGATCATTTTATTACCTAGCCTACGGGGAAAGAGGACGTTCCAATGTGCTGCCCAATCCTATATTTTCATTACTCAGAAACTTAATTGCCTAGTGTAAAAAGTGGTGGCTAATGTAAAATAATAATGTAAATCAAGCTAGTTAGCTAATTAAGTGCATTAATACAGACTAAGAAATTTGAATGGTGTATATGAATTCCCAGGAAGAGGGTCCCTGGAGGGCTAGTGGTTAGTCTGCGGCGCTCTCACTGCCATGGCACAGGTTCGATTCCCAGATGGGGAACCACCCCACACGACAGTGTGCAAGTCTCAGTCCCAAGCCCGGATAAAATTGGGGAGGGTTGTGTCAGGAAGGGCATCTGGCATAAATACTGCGCCAAATCAAATATATGCAGCCCAATGATCTTCTGTGGTGACCCCAATGGGAGCAGATGCAAGAACAACAACAACATATGAATTCCTGGGAAGGGGACAACTCTGTAGCCATAGTCCTTTCCTAAAGTTTTTGAGCTGGCACTTTGTTTTTGTGCCCTTGACAAAAAAAAGAAAAAACAGCATGTAAAAATATTATTTGAGCTTGGCTAGCTTCATTTTCTCTATATATTTTTAACCATGAGGTTACTTTATGTTGTACTAGCAGGAGAGTTTGGTAACTTTACGCTGTACTTAATTTTGCTCAGTTCCATAAACCTGCATGTTCCTTATTCTGAAAATCGTTTGTCATCCGTGCATGCTTATTTATCTGCCTAGTACAAATTGTTCAAATGACAGTCAGATCCTGTGTAGTGCAGCAGGTGGTTTAATTCACACATCATCAAGGCGTCACACCATTGTGAGGCACATTAGGTTTAAGCATATACACCAAATGAAAATGTTTACTGTTTTGCAAAAGTCAGTAGGAAGTGTTTTTCTTTTCTTTCTCTGGTTATTGAACCTTTTTTGTCCGCTATGCAACTGGGAATAAAAAGAATAATAGCCCGGACATGAAATCTGTTTGTAGCAGATGCCCAGGGCTACTGATTTGTCCACCCCTTGGTACTGTAACTAGCAAAATCAATTTGGTTGATTTACATACAGTAAAAAAAACGATCCCTGGAGGACTATTGGTTAGGCCATGGCGCTCTCACTGCTGCAGCCCAGGTTCGATTCCTGGCCAGGGAACCACAGTGCACTCCCAGTGCAGGCCCCAGGCCTGGATAGAATTGCGTCAGGAAACTGTGTGCCAAATCAAATATGTGGACCAGTGATCTGCTTTGGCGACCCCTAACAGGAGCAGCCGAAAGAACAACAACAACCTACAGTAAAAGAAAGGGACTAACCTTAGCCATTCATACGAGCTGGTTTCTTGTGAATTGTCAGCTGAGAGACCATTTTGTCAGATGAAGTAAACATATTTGAAACAAATTCACAATAGTGTTAGCCCTGAGCTTTTAAGGCTGTTCTTTTTTTTTTTTTTTTTCTTGCTAAATGCATTGAAAAGTGATTTGTCTGCACTGCCCTGTGGGACCAATAAAAGAATATCCAGAAACTGCATGGGCAGTTCAGAATTTCCTCTGCTCTTTAGACATGAGGATGGCCCAGCCTCAGTACCTCATTTGTTTGTGGTGTTTTTCTTTCTTCAGGCACCAATATTTCCCCCTTTACACTTGATGAATCTTCAGATTGCTCATTTCAGCATTGATATAAATCATACATAAAATCTGTTGTACATTTTGATGCAAAATTGATTTTATAATTGTCTGTTGGCAGGCAGAAATAACGCAGCATCCCAAGTCTGTGATGTTTGAAGCGCACCCACGTCACTGTTTTTGAATAGCTAGGACTTGAAGTCAACTCTTTTACAGACCAGATCTGGCACAAGGCTGTAGTTCCTAATTCCTTATAATTGCTGTGCAACTGCTGAGAGAAATAATTTGTTGAAATTGTGTTTATTTTTTCTGAAAAATAAGAAACAGACAAAGATTTTTCTGAAATAACGCAAAATACAACTATGCAGGACAGTTAAAAGCCAGCAGCTCCCTTAGGTACACAGATTGTGTGTGTATTTTATGATTTTTATAGCCTTTATGCAAGAAATCTTTCGTGAGGAGCACTAAAACCTAATGCTGAAGCCCATGTGGTCCTTACACAAACATCTATTAAATTTGCAGTGGTTCAGAGCTGTTGTAACATACTGCCTCCATTCGTCAGGCTGGTCTCAGGAGGAACAAAAATGGAAATGAGATAAAACAGTGATCTGCATGTCAAATCTGTAAAAAAACAAATTTGAAGCAAGTCTCTATGGGACTAAGGCGTTTTTAAATGAGACAAGGAAATGAGCTTGGGAAAAAAATGCCTAAACACTGAACCAATAACATTTCAATAAAACCGTCATAGGTTGTCATTTAAAATGGTGCAATTTCAAGCAGTAAAGGGAGGCCTTTTGGGTCACATAAAGCAATAAGTACATTGGCAGTTATAATTATAGCATTTTCTGAAAAATATCCTGTATATAATTAGTTTAAAAATGGGACTTCAATATGCACATAGATTTTTTTTAAATCAACAAAAAGAAGTCAGGTACACACACACAACTCAACACGAACCCTAACTATAATCTTCCTAACTTCATAACAGTTAAGTCCTTTGAATTGTTACGCATTTAAAAGTGTGAGACAATTCTATAAATATAGCATATATAAAGATGCAGAACTGCGTTGAACCATAGCTCTGTCTCTGACTCCTAATAATTTGTTTCCATATCATTTGCATAAAATGTTAGGTTTTCTAATATTGGTGGGAAAATGAAATTATTAGATCATGTCACAAATGTAAAGTCCTGAGGCATAACGTCAGATATGCTTCACTGTCTCTGTCCTGTTTTTGTTTTGTTTGACTGATTTCATTTAATATCAGTGTGTGTGAGAAAGAGAAAAAAGCTTCAGGCGAGATTCTGGCTTTGCAGTTATGCAAAATATTATGGACACACACACACACAAACATACAATTTTTCCACATACTGTACTAGGCTTATTTATAATTTGTAATGTCCACCATTACACAGTCTGCAGAGTAACCCATTGCAGATACTCAAATAATGTAACAAAAATGACAGATTAAGTGTCATTGTTGAAGTAAGTTGTTAGAATTTACAAATTGCAAGGTGTATGAAAATGTAATCACATTTCACTTTATGACACATTTCGCTTTAGCAGCAACTTCTACATTTTATTGATTCAGTACAAAAACCTTTTAGATTTCCAAACATTAGCTTTCCAGCATAAAATTAAATGTTACAGAAAAATGTTTATATGTCAGTAAAGAAAGCAGCAGATTACATAAGAGACACTTTTCAGACAAAAAAAAAAAAAACATAATGAAGGCTGCTGTGTTTTGCTGCAAAAATAAGAAGCAAGTGTGACAGTCAAAGCCTCCGGAAGAGCTGTGGCTGGTTCTGCAAGACGCTCAGTAAAACTTACAGCTCATTTCCTTATAAAACTGCACAGATTATATATCTTATGGCCACGCTTTATGCCCCAACCAACAGATTTGTTTCTTCATTTGTAACCTTTGCTGCACTAAATAATTACATTGAACGCTAATCATTGGCTCATTGTAACAATACAGTATTTGTGATATCTCCAGACTTGCATCTTTACTATTGTAGAGACTACACCATCAGTTAACAAGCCAGTCTCTCTAGCTTGTGCGGCTTCATAAATGGCCTTGAAGATGTTACTTGAGGATTTTGCACCATTTCCTGTGCGTATTCTTGTCTGGTGTAATAGAATTGACAAGATTGCTGTATATAAATAGCATGTGCAGGATTTTCGGACTGAATAGCAGTCTGCTAGCCAGTTCACCAAACTCATCCGTAGGGCACGAGAGCTCACTGAATAGTTTGGTAAGGATGAAAATATTGTAAAACATATGCTACGGTTTTCACAGTCACCAGATCTTCAGCCAGTTGAACACCTATGGGAGATTGGAACGTTGTGTTAGCACTCTTAACCACTACATCAGAACACCAGTTGAGAGAATGTCTTTTGGAAGAATGCTGTTCATCTCTCCAGTACAGTTGTAGAGATTTGCAGAACCTGTGCCAAGGTGCAATGAAGTGGTGGCCTGACACCTTACTAAGGCGCTTTATATTAGTTAATTGATTACCTGTCCTCTTCCAGTTTACCAAAGCAAGGGGTGTATTGGTTTTGGGATGTTCCTGATTGGTGTATTAAATAGATATGGTTGCTTTCTTGATGACGGTAAATGCTGTATTGAAATGTCTGTTCATTTTCCAGTGATTAGTGACATTTTGGTAAAACAGTGGCTGTAGGGTAGGCCGAACAAGAAGGTCAGACCTTTCTGGGTCCCTGGTAAGTCATTAATATTAATGTGATGTAAGCTAATCACAAGCTAAATGTAAAAGGTGACGGTTTTGCAATTGCAGTTGGATTATTTGGATGTTTTTCTTTTATATACCAATAATAATAATAATTTAATCCCACCTCCATGATGTAGTTGTTTTTTTGGCAAGACTAATGAAAACACAATGTTAACAATTTCTAATTATTTTTATATTTAGTTGCAATGTTTATAAGTTGGTAACGATTATCTTGCTTGATAGCTAGCTAAATGGCGACCAATTTCTACAGTCTCTCATTCTGCATATTATTTTTTTCCCCCTTGCTTACGGAAGCAAAATTATAGACTAAATGGTCCCAGAAACAGACTGGTGTCACCCTGACTCTCCAGGGTGCTGTAGAACCATGTGTGTGCAGAACAGTTTTTTGGGTGACTTTAAGCACCTTTAACTTCCACCTTTTTGAATTATGCTGACCTATACATGGGCAGTATGGTGGCACAGTGGGTGTGGATGAGTGTGTGAATGTGTGAGCGTCCCATAGCGTCACATCCAGCTTGCGCCAGTGATCCTGGGATAGGCTCCAGATCCACGATGATGCTGCTCAGGATAAAGTGGTTACTGAAGATGAATGACCTATAAATTGTATAAATTCAGTCCCTACCCACACACACACACACACACACCTTATGGCTGTGTGTAATCCTTGTTTATAGTGCAGAGGCAGCGGTTGTCCTACAGTCCGCATTTCAGCACACAGCAAACTCACACTCACACTAAGATTAAAGCACGAGAACGTGGGAAATGAAGATAAAGCCCGAACTGACAAAGCTGGTGGATTTTGAGGGTGCTACTAGATGCTTTATTGTGATCTGAGAGCAGTTTATTGCAGGTAATTCTAAGATTTGGCCCTAGCTAAGCAAACTTCTGAGCAGGGGGAATGT